CTACCTGACTACTACCTGACTACTACTACCTGACTACTACTACCTTACTACTACTACTACTACTACTACTACTGCTGAAACCTGGAGCTGCCCTTCCTCATGTATAGTCACACGAGTGGAGCCCGTGTGTGCCAGGAACCTTTGTGTTTGGCTCAGAGAGCTGAGACGCGTAAGGGCAGTGGCTACAATGTAGAAGCCTAGGTGTGCACAGAAGCGCTAGGCTTAGACCACTTGCGAGCACGCTCTTTCGTTGCGGTGTGTGAAAAGGGGTTTGAGGGTTTTTCGCCCGCGGTCCCATGGCTTTCGGAGGTCCTTCGGGGATCATCCGATAAAACTGGAACGATACTTCTGAGAAGTCGCAGACGGGTTATGTCATCGTCAGCTGAAGGGCTCGGTTCGGATGCTCTTCAGGTGATGAGCCCAAACGTTGCCACTGAGCAGGAAAGACTGCCGCAGTCCGCTGACGTGACATATGGGTCTGTGGGAGGGTTGGTGAATGGTGTGGTTCCGGCCCCTCCTCAGATTGCGACGCAACCTTCAGAAGTCAGTGCGGGGGATGTAAATCCTTCAAGGTCAGAAGCAGCTCCGTCCACTCAGGAGCAGGTGGAGGCTGGGCATGAGATCCAGTTGGCTGCGGAGCCTCCTGCAGTTGGTCAGTCTGGAGTTCAAGGACAGGGTCAGGCTGCAATGGCTGCAACAGTGGCTCTGGAGGACGGAAGTGTGCATGGTGTGAGTGCAAACATGGAGGTTCAGCAAGGGACTTCCGCCCTGACGGTGGTGCGTTGGATTTCGCGTTTGAACGACTTCCTAGCCAACCTGGGACATGCTGTGTTTGGTTCAGTTGGGTTTAATACGACGCCTACTCAGGGTACCCGACATGCAGACTTAGAGTCACGAGCCACACAGCATATGCGAACACCACATGCCACTCCTACCAGAAGCCAGCATACAGCAGCAGCAGCAGCATCGAGGCCAAGATCGTCTGCGCAAGGATCACCCTTGGTATTCTCTCCTCCCGAGGATCTTCCACGAGAATATTATGGGTGGGGAACTCAGTCCGATCTACCTCGAAGGCAGGAGCCTCTGTTTTCACGTGAGGCTTGGGAGCACATGATGGGGTTTTCACAGCGAGCTCCATGGTTGTACGGAAGAGGTTCGCAGGCGCAGGAGGATTCGACTACGGGGTCTTCGGAAGTTCAAGCTGAAGTGCAACGGCAGCTGGAGGTGTTGATGAGGACGCAGTCGAGCCAGCTTGAGGAAATGAAGGATGAGCTAATGTTCCTGAGGGCTGAGAGGGCTCGTTTGTTGAGTGGTCAACACGCTCAGCTACCAAGAGGCGATGATGGACCCCAGCGCCAAGGTGATCCGAGTGTGGTGCCACACGCTCAGCTACCAAGTCAAGAGGCGATGATGGACCCCGGCAACAAGGTGATCCGCGTGTGGTGCAACAGACTCAGCTACCAAGAGGCGATGATGGACCTCGGCAACAAGGTGATCCTCAGGTGTTTGTGCGAGCTCAACCGACAAGAGGAGGTGGCGGGCCCCAGCGTCTGGGCGAACTGGATTGACTTCAGCCTTCTGGTCCGTCAAGGGGAATGCACTTGGCTACTGGAGTTAGTGAGTCGTCTGGTCGTCAGCCGCCAGGACTTCAACATGTGGGTAATGGTCATGGGGGAGATTTGGAAAGAAATGTTCGTCAGCGCGTTGGTGTTGCTACAAGTGATTCCCAACCTATGGCTGCACCTCGAGGGCCTCCTACAGTCCTACAGTGTATGGTCCTAGCATAAGTGCAACTCAGTGCGAATCTGGAGGTGCTCATTGTGATGTTCCTATGGGTCCTACAGTTGCCGTCCAAGGAGCCGAACCGCCGGTGGCAGGGATGACACCGAGCGAAAGACTTCTGGAGAAACTTGCTGAGGGCATCCAGCAGCTGCAAAGGGTTCAGATCGACCACCTCGAGAAGGCGGAGCGGAAGAAGGATGATGAGACTCCTGAGCAGTGTAAGCCTGGAACAGCGAGTTTGCCAACGTTGCCGATGCCGAATGGTAACGAGAGTGCAGTGGCTCTGCAGGACTGGATCGAGGTCATCGATGGTCCCCTTCGCGATGTCTCTGATAGCAGCTCGTGGTGGTGGGACGCTGTCAAGAAAAGGGCTCAAGAGAGCTACCAGAGATGGGTGGCTTCGGGACCCTACGAGCGCTTGGCGTTGAAGCCACCTACGGCGGAAGATCTGGAAAAGGGCCGCTACTCGAGGCTGAGTGCACGGACGGCAGGTATTATGATGCTCCAGGCCATGGCAGAATCAGTTCGCGCTGAGATGGTGGCACGGGCAATCACAAGATCTCCTGTGGCTCTGTTGTTCAGACTGTACACGATGTACCAGCCGGGGGGCGAAAGTGAAAAGGCCTACATCCTCCAGTATCTGGTGACGCCGCCCAAGGCCCAGACTGCAGCTGAAATGGTTTCTGTTCTCCGACAGCGGGAAAGGATGCTTCTGCGGGCAGATAACCTGAACATCGCCAAGCCCGATCCCTCGTTGTTAGTTCGAGGACTGAACTCGTTGGTGGCAGAGCTGTGGGCCAAGGACCGGGATGTCACATTTCGAACTCAGTTGGTAAAGAGCAGACTGGGAGTGGATGTGAGTCCGACATGGGAGACGGCTCTTCAGCTACATCAACATCTACGAGCCGAAGCGGAGAACCTGGTGAATGGCCTTCCAACGACTCCGAAGACGGGAGTTGGTGATGGGCAACGTGATGCAAAGCTACGACCGATGCAGACGGGGACACCGGCTCCATCAAGGCCTCCGAGTACGACTCCTACGCCAACGGGTACTACAACTCAGGGTGGTGTTGCTGCAGAGAAAAAGTGCAAGTGGTTCACCGAGCCTGGAGGGTGCCGACGAGGAGCCAGCTGCAAGTTCGTTCACTCGTTTGAAGGTATCTCCAAGAAGAACCGCTGCTATACCTGCGGCGCTGAAGGCCATGTGTCGAGTGCTTGCCCAACGAAGGCGGACAATGGAGACATGAGACCAGATGGTTCGAAGCCGCGGCCCAAGCCAAAGCCGAAGAGCACACCAACGACCCCTACGGCAAGGGATGATACTGCTAAGGCTGGAGCGGCAGCGGCGAGATCTATGACTGCAGAGCCAGAACCTCAGCCATCGCCTCCGACGTCACCTACACCGCTGAGACCCAGTCTGCGGCGGCTACCGGCGAAGTGAAGGAGGCTTTGCGGGATGCAGCTCAAGCCTTGAGGTCTTTGATGAGCTCGGGTTCAACTACGGCGTCGTCGACTACTTCTACGCTTGAAGGACTTCAGCGACAGCTTGATGAGTTGAGGCTCAAGGCAATCAGGGTTGATGAGGAGGTTGCGGTCATAAAAAAGACTGAGCGGACTCCACTTGATGAGCGGGTGAATGACGATGCAATCCCAACATGAGCGACGTGATCTACTTCAAGCTGAGTCCGGAGCTATCTTGACAACTTCGCCGGGTACACAACCGATATTGCCCATGGCCGAACTGGTGAGTGCAGGTTGCGAGATCAGTTGGAAGCGTGGTGTCTTCAAGGTGATTCATCCAGTTTGGGGTGAATTGAGGACCTCGTCGCGCGGGGGGTGTCCGGAGCTGGCGCAGGAGCAGGCAGCGAAGCTGGTGAATGACATTGAGACGAAGAAGCTCAATGAGTTCAAGGAGGGTGTTTCAATGCTGAAGTCGAAGCTGGAACACTTGGCCCATGAGGAGAAGTTGCCATGGACGGGGTACGTGATGCGGTACCTTGTGAGTGGTCAGGCAAGAGACCTTTGGAAGGCGCTACAGGGATCCTTCATGAAGTTTCTTCCAGAGCGACTTCTCGATCCTGTTTGTCGGGGTGTACGATTGGACGCAGGATGGGATCACTTGAAAAGTTTGCCTTTTCCCAGGAGGATGCGAAAGCGGATGCTGGAGTCCAGAAAGTGGATAGTACATGTTCCGGGTCACCGAGATGACGTGCCTCTTAAGCCAGAGGCATATGGTGAGGATGCGGTGTTGGTGACGATCTCTGGAGAGCTTCCTCTTCCAGTCTATGAGGATCTTTTATGTGGGGCGGCTACAGGGAGGATTGCTGCGGTTGTGGGATCTACTCCGGGAACATCTATGTGCAAAGAGGAACAGTCACTTCGCACGGCCAAGGTGTTGGGGTTGTACGTCGTGGGAAGACTGGCAAGATCTACCTCGAGAACAGGCTTCCTTTGGTCAGTTCCGAAGTCGGGTGGTGAGGACTACGTGAGCAGGTTGCTAAAGGAGTTCTCTGAGGCCGCGTCGATGGACCAGCATGATGTGAGCCGAGGTTCTTCAGAGGGACAGCCGAAGATTGCTATGATGGTCGTGACAAACTACCATGTGAGGAGCCCTGAAGTTCCAAGTAAGTCTGAGGAGGGGGCTGAGAAAGTCGCTCTTCCTGGGTGGTTTACAGCTTGGAGGCTCGAATTAGCAAGGGCTGTTCGGGAGGAGGATTTCAAGGACAAGTCGGTTCCAGGCTCAGGATCTTTGAAGGCTATGTCTCCGGAGCAGTGGAAGGAGCACGTTCGAGCTGGACATTATCCGGCCCGACGAGATTGCCTACAGTGCGTTACTCATGGTGCAACAGGACATCGACATGCTCGCGTGGAACATCCTTCATTGTTCTGCATGAGTGTCGATATCACGGGGCCTTTCAGGACAACTGGAGAAGATCCAAGTGCTCGTGGAAAAAGGCTGCGAAGATGAAGTATTTGTTGGTCGCGAAGTTTACCCTGCCGAAGTCCTATGTTACGGGTGAGTTTGAGCCAACAGGAACAGATCCACCAGATGAGGAATTGGGACACAAGGATCTGTTTGATGAAGAAGATCGAGGTGATGGTCATGATGTACCTACTGATGATCTGGTGGGTGATTCTCGAGATGAAGCGTTTGAGGCCGATCCCTGTGATGATGGGGGTGGTGTTGGTGACATTCCTTTGGATGTGAAGCCTCCTGAGAATGGAGTTCCAATGGACATCGAAGCACCGGAGGCCACCTATCTGTTGTTTGCGGAGCCGCTCCTCAATGACAAGGGAACATCTATAGCATCTGCGATTCAGTCGATCGTGTTGTACCTGCAGAGCTTGAACATCCCTGTGCTGAGGTTTCACAGTGACAGGGCGGCACAGTTGACTTCGAGGCCTCTGGTACAATGGCTTCATCAGCAAGCTATCAGGACGTCTACCAGTACCCCAGGTGTTCCTCAAGAAAATGGTGCTGCTGAGAGCGCGGTCAAGGAGCTGAAGCTTTCTACAAGGAAGATTTTGTCAACGTCGGGTTTGGACAAAGGATTCTGGCCGGTGGCAGCGAAGGCAGCTGCTTCAACGCAGAGAGCAAGAGTGTTGAGGCAAGTTTCACGGATGATGACGAGTTTTGGGGCAAAGGTTTTGGTTAAGAAACGGAGGTATGCAGCTTCCGGTGCTCTGATCACATTGGAGTTCGATGAGCGGTGGTCGGAAGGCAGCTACCTGGGTCTTTCTGATCAAGTGGCGAATGGACATCTTGTCTATGTGGACGGGATTTTTACTCACACAAGGAGTGTGAGGGACAAGGCGAAGCTTGTGGACGCAGCGGAAGACTACTTGAAGGACGACGCGGGGACACTTGAGTTTGAAGGGGATGCAGAGCCTCCTTTGAGAAAAAGGAGAATTCATGGGAAGTCATCGCCTCGGGTTGCTGTGTTGGACGGTGAGTTTGGTCTGGAGCTATGTGATGATGAGATTCCAAGCGACTATGAGGAGGACTTTGATGCGGCCAAGACTCCCCGTGAACAGGTTCAAGATGTACGACCTCGCGTAGCAGTCCTTAGTCAGCCGATGAACTCAGGACCCTATGATGATGATGTACAGAGCGATCAGGAGGATTTGCAGAATCCTGAAGACTACGCCAAGGAGATCATCTATTCCGAAGAGGATGTTACGGAGGAGGTGATTGAGAAGTTGTTCGAGTTGCTTCCAAATCAGAGGTTGCCACGACAAACGGAGGACCATGGTTCAGAGGGACTTCCTCCCAAGGCCTGGGCTTCAGGAGTATATCGACATGGTGGGGTGCTGGGTGTGAGGAATTCATCAAAGGAGTTTCCCTATGCAACCAGGTTGGTGAATCAATTTATTCGCACTGTTCTTGGGGAGTCGGTTACATGGTCTACGTTTTCTCTTCATCGAAACCTCAGTGTGAAGAGACATCGAGACTCCCACAATGCCCGCGATGAGTTGTCCTACTTGATCCCTATTAGTGACTTCAGACAAGGTGGTCTTTGGATACAAGCAGATATTGGTGAAGCCGTTGGCGATGATGAAGTGACCATTGTGGATGGGTAGCGTGGACGTGTGAAGCCTTTGCAGTCCGAGGAGGGGACTAAGGAGGTGGTGTCATTCAACCCAAGGCAATGGCACGCTACGATGCCATGGACTGGCGATAGGCTGGTGTTGGCGGTGTACAAGGTTCGTGGGCTGAACAAGATCAAGGCTGCTGATGAGGACGTTGCGTTGGACTTGGGGTTTCCTTTGCCGACAAATGATGTGGGGAGTCCAAGAATGTGCAAGCTCCTTGGTCAAGAAGGTGAACAACCTGGTCCGGAACCACAGGAGGAAGTCGAGGTTGAGCTGGAGCCAGTTGAGGATTTTATGTACACCCGCATGTCTGAGGAGGAATGGAGGACCACGATTGAGCGGTACGGCGCGGATCATTATGTTGCAGAGATGGCTACGAGATGGCGTCGTATCGAGCCGGAGGAGGGCAATTTGAAATCAGTGATTCCAGCCGCCATTGCAGCGGACATCGACAGGGATTGGGTCAATGCTCCAAGGATTTTCCTTATGTCTGAGGAGGGCGAGGAACTCCATGTGGGACGTATGCTGGGAACAAGAACTACACGGATCCAGGACTATGACCCAGAAAGGCTAAATTCGAGTTTTCTCAAGGCGTGCAAGATCTACAATATGGTCACCAATGAAGAAGAGATGATCGTATTTTGGATTCGCAGACGGGTGGTGGTTCATCAAGTCCCGCCTGCAGATCAGCGCCACGCATGGAGAGGTCAAGAGGAACAAGGACCACCTGATCGTGATCACAGGGGTAGGGTACCTCGCTTGGCTGTAATGTCGGTCGATGGCTCGGGAGGATTGTTGCAGTTCGTTGAAGTTGATGAGGAGGAGCTGGGCAATGACGAAGCTCGGATGATGAAGGCTACTCCAGAGACTCTGTATACTCCGAACATTGAAGAACTGTTGGCTTCCGTCTCTGCCGAAAACCCGCTGAAGGTCACCCACACTGTTGATCCTCGTGAAGTACTACCTGTTGTGGAAAGATGGATCCCAGCAATGAAGGCTGAACTAGATGCCCTCGAAAAAATGGCTGCGATAAAGAGATGCACTGGGAAAGAGGCGGAAGGGCTCCGCAAAGACCCAAACGTGATCGTGGTGCCAAGCAAGCTGGTGTTTACAATCAAGCCCGGCCTGGAACCGGGACAAGTTCGCCGCAAAGTCAGAGGGGTTGCGTGCGGAAATTTCTCTGGGGAGACAGCCGAGGAGCTTGGTGATGTATATTCAGCTGGGGCCACAATTGATCTGGTGAGACTTTGTTTGGCAGAAGTCAACGCGAACCCAGGCTGGATCGCAGCGACGGACGATGTGAAAACAGCTTTCCTACGTGCCCCGATCCCAGAGTTGCCGAATGGGGGTATGCTATGGAGGCGCCGAGGGCGATGATTCGGGCCGGCCTAGCAGAGCCGGGAGAACTGTGGTGGGCAACCGCTGCTGTATATGGGTTTCAGAGGAGCCCGAAGTGGTGGTCAGAACATAGGAATGCTACGACGGCAAGGGCGAGATGGAGTTCACCAAGGTCTGGATGGATGAGGATCGTTCCATGCGTGACGGACGAGAATCTCCATAAGCTGATTGAGGTCGATGACACGGGCCAAGAAAGGATTGTCGGCTACATTTTGTTTTACGTCGATGATACCCTTGCAGTTGGACCCCCGGACTACGTTCACAGTTTCTACGACTGGCTGGAGGCTACTTGGGAAACTGTCGTTCGCTTTCTCGGCTTGGAGCTTTCTCTTCAAGAAGATGGAAGAATGAGGATTGCCCAACGGGGTTACATAGATGAGCTCTTGAGGAAGCGAGAAGTGACCGGATTTAGCAAGGTACCGTTTCTCAAGGAGTGGGCTACGGATGAAGTTCCAGCAGATCCAGATTGCAGTCCTGCGTTGATCAAGGAGGCTCAGCAGAGGTGCGGTGAAATCCCTCTGGACGACCCAGAGGACTCGTCCAGATGCTTCGTACGCTGCGATGATGATGGCCAGATTGACGACGAGATGGCCAGAGAGATCCATTCAGATCGCGAAGAAAATCCTTGCCTACTACAACAGCACGAAGGATGCCGCGTTTATCATCGAGAAGGAGCAGTCGTCCAAGCTGGTGATGTTCAGCGACGCCTCACACTCTCCGGCCGGGGCAAAGTCCATTTCAGGAACCTTGGTGATGTGGAAGGGACTACCCATATGCTGGCGAGCGGCGAATCAAGGACTGACGGCGTTGAGTAGTGCCGAAGCCGAGCTTATTGCTTTGAGTGAAGGTGCGCAACTACTCCGTTCCGTGAAGACGACCCTTGAGGACATGGGCATCAGGCCAGAGACTTCAGAGCTTCGGGTCGATGCAACAGCAGCGATTGCTGTGGCGAGCTCTGGTGGGAGCTGGCGGACAAGGCATCTACGACTACGGGAGAACTGGCTGGTTGAGCTGGTTAACTCGAATGAGTATGTCCTTATGCACCAGCCGGGAGTCGAGCAGTTGGCGGATGGGTTAACAAAGCAGTTGGCTTCGGATCGTGCCTGGAAACTACTGCAGGCGTGGAGCTCCTACAAGGGTAGCACTCAGCCTGAAGTCAAGAAGGTGATGATCGCAAAGGTCGATGGTGAGTGGGAATCCGCAGCAGCCTCCGCAGCAGCGCAAGCCACCATACCCTGCACAACAGCCATAAGCAACCAGCATGAAGGGACCCTGAGTAGGTGTACCAAGGTTCTAGTGGGGTTGGGTTTGGTTGCTGGAGCTTGTGGAAGTGATACTGGGAACCATGAGGTGTACACTGGTGTGGATTCAGAGCATGAGCTTTGGGTTGCAGTGTTGTTGGTGATGGTGACCACTATATTCTTCTGGGAGTGGAGCAAGCGGGCTGCTGGGGGTGTCAAGAAGGCAGTTAAGCTGAAGATGTTTTCGTCGACTTCTACACCGAGGTTGTCCAAGGCCGAAGGGAAGGAGCTGTTGATGTTGTTGGGCTTAGATGAGCGATCAATAGAGCAGGAGGCGAGGCTGAATGCTTTGATAGGCCGCTATCAGGTTCAAGATCGAGCACTTCCAGGCCAGGATGGGACCACAGGGCCTACAATCACGGGACGAACTACTTCGACTACAAGTTCTTCAAGGCCTTCGATTCCAAGTATAGAGAGGTTTCAGCCTGAGCGCTGGAGCAGAGCAGTACAGACAGATCCGGAGCCTGAGCTGCCAAAGGGATCTGTCACGGGAGAATGATCTATACGTGAGCCCGGCCGGAGACCGCATACATCTCCGACCAGACTGCCATGGATTACGGAATGCTTCCAGAACGCTTCGGAAACCAATGTGCCAGTACTGTCTGAATGCGTGGCGAAACCACCCTGATAACACCCGAGGGTGAGCAAGGCCAGCTTGCAGATGGTCGATGGAATGTGATGTTCTCCCTATCGGGGACATCAAGGAGGGGTGCTGAAACCTGGAGCTGCCCTTCCTCATGTATAGTCACACGAGTGGAGCCCGTGTGTGCCAGGAACCTTTGTGTTTGGCTCAGAGAGCTGAGACGTGTAAGGGCAGTGGCTACAATGTAGAAGCCTAGGTGTGCACAGAAGCGCTAGGCTTAGACCACTTGCGAGCACGCTCTTTCGTTGCGGTGTGTGCAAAGGGGTTTGAGGGTTTTTCGCCCGCGGTCCCATGGCTTTCGGAGGTCCTTCGCGGATCATCCGATAAAACTGGAACGATACTTCTGAGAAGTCGCAGACGGGTTATGTCATCGTCAGCTGAAGGGCTCGGTTCGGATGCTCTTCAACTACTACTACTACTACTACTACTACTACTACTTCTGCTACTTCTACTGCTACTGCTACTGCTACTGCTACTGCTACTGCTACTGCTACTGCTACTGCTACTGCTACTACTACTACTACTACTACTACTACTATTAATACTGCAGAGCAGCCGTACAAGCCAGCCCGGCTCACGCAGTCGATGGGTGCTGCCCTAGTATTGCAGCGGTCGTAGTAGCTGGCAGTACGTCGTACTCTGGTGGTGTTAGTATCGCGATGGTGTCGCACTAGCCTAGTCGGAGGGGCACTCGGAAAAAAATGGCCCTGGTGCAAAAAATGTTTTTCAGGTGGCTAAACTGGCGGGGCAATTTCCCTAATGGGCATAGGGCTTCGAGTGAGAAAAATCCGGCCTGGTTCACAAGTGCACCACTATAGTGGTAGGGTCTGCAGAACCAGGTCCTTATAAAATGGGGGGGG